GTATGGATCTCTCTGAAATTGTACTGCAAGGTACCATACCACAAAGGGAAGGCTGGGATTGAGTTTGGGGGTGATGAATCATAAGGGAGTTCAAAAAATTTGGGGGGGGGGGATTTTTTTTTTTTCCTTTTTTTTTTCTTTTAAAATTTTCCATTTTAAGTTGGTTATTTCTGTTTTATATTTAAAAGCAAATAATAACGATATGGTAGGAGATACACACCAAACAGGATGTGTAAATTATTATAAAATAAGTATTGTGCAATAGCAAGAAATTTTCAATTGCACAGTATTGCACAATAGCAAGAAATCTTCAATTGCACAGTATTGCGCAATAGCAAGAAATCTTCAATTGCACAGTATTGTGCAATAGCAAGAAATATCCAATAGCACAATATTGCGCAATAGCAAGAAATTGTCAATTGTACAGTATTGCGCAATAGCAAGAAATATTCAATTGCACAGTATTGTACAAAAGAAGATACTTCGTATAAATTGCTTATTTCTTGACCAATTTCAATGGGGTTTTATTCTTGAATTCTTGGGGTTCTTTAATATACTGATTCTAACCGTGTATTAAGTTTTTGGATTTTGGGCCCCGTTTTTAAATTGGTCCACATTGAGGTCCAAAGGGTCCAAAATTAAACTTTGTTTGATTTCATCAAAAATTGAATTATTGGGGTTCTTTGATATGCCAAATCTAACCGTGTATTTAGATTCTTAATTTTTGGTTCTGTTTTCAAATTGGTCTACATTAAGGTCCAAAGGGTCCAAAATTAAACTTGGTTTGATTTTAACAAAAATTGAATTCTTAGGATTCTTTGATATGCTGAATCTAAACATGTATTTAGATTTTTGATTATGGGCCCAGTTTTCAAGTTGGTCCAAATCGGGGTCCAAAATTAAACTTTGTTTGATTTCAACAAAAATTGAATATATGGGGTTCTTTGATATGCTGAATCTAACCATGTATTTAGATTTTTGATTTTTGGGCCCCATTATCAACTTTGTCCACATTGAGGTCAAAAGGGTCCAAAATTAAACTTTGTTTGATTTCATCAAAAATTGAATTCTTGGGGTTCTTTGATATGCTGAATCTAACCATGTATTTAGATTTTGGATATTGGACCATAATAGTTGAATGTCCAATTTAAAATTTTTAAGTTCTTAGACCACATTCATTCTGTGTCAGAAACCTATGCTGTGTCAAATATTTAATCACAATCCAAATTCAGAGCTGTATCAAGCTTGAATGTTGTGTCCATACTTGCCCCAACTGTTCAGGGTTCGACCTCTGCGGTCGTATCAAGCTGCGCCCTGCGGAGCATTTTATTTGACCTAGATTAATTTAATCCTTAAATTTGACAGCAATACACCAAACTACATAATGATCTATGATTCAGTAAGATCAATATATTACTAAGATAGCTGTATAGGTTGATGAAAATCCTAGTTGATTTGAAAAAGTTATAAAAAAAATTAAAGTGTACTATCTCTATTTTGTCTGAACTGCAAATCCTAGCTTTTTGGACCTAGATTAATTTAATTCTTAAATTTGACAGCAATACACCAAACTTCTTAACAACCTGGGATTCAGTAAGATTAATATATTACCAAGGTAGCTGTATAGTTAGATAAAAATCTAAGTTGATTTGAAAAAGTTATAAAAAGAATTAAAGTGTACTATCTGAATATAGTCCGAACTGCAAATTCAAGCTTTTTTGACCTAGATTAATTTAATCCTTAATTTGACAGCAATACACCAAACTACATAATGACCTATGATTCAGTAAGATCAATATATTACTAAGATAGCTGTATAGTTTGATGAAAATCCTAGTTGATTTGAAAAAGTTATAAAAAAAATTAAAGTGTACTTTCTCTATTTTGTCTGAACTGCAAATCCTAGCTTTTTGGACCTAGATTAATTTAATTCTTAAATTTGACAGCAATACACCAAACTTCTTAACAACCTGGGATTCAGTAAGATTAATATATTACCAAGGTAGCTGTATAGATAGATAAAAATCTAAGTTGATTTGAAAAAGTTATAAAAAGAATTAAAGTGTACTATCTGAATATAGTCCGAACTGCAAATTCAAGCTTTTTTGACCTAGATTAATTTAATCCTTAAATTTGACAGCAATACACCAAACTACATAATGACCTATGATTCAGTAAGATCAATATATTACTAAGATAGCTGTATAGTTTGATGAAAATTGTAGTTGATTTGAAAAAGTTATAAAAAAAATTAAAGTGTACTTTCTCTATTTTGTCTGAACTGCAAATCCTAGCTTTTTGGACCTAGATTAATTTAATTCTTAAATTTGACAGCAATACACCAAACTTCTTAACAACCTGGGATTCAGTAAGATTAATATATTACAAAGGTAGCTGTATAGTTAGATAAAAATCTAAGTTGATTTGAAAAAGTTATAAAAAAAAATTAAAGTGTACTATCTGAATATAGTCCGAACTGCAAATTCAAGCTTTTTTGACCTAGATTAATTTAATCCTTAAATTTGACAGCAATACACCAAACTACATTATGACCTGTGATTCAGTAAGATCAACATATTACTAATATAGCTGCATAGTTTGATGAAAATCCAATTTTGATTTGAAAAAGTTATAAATAAAATTAAAGTGTACTATCTGAATTTTGTCCAAAATTGCAAATCCTAGCTTTTTTGACCTAGATTAGATTTGAAAGCAAAACACCAAACTACATAATTACCTTTGATTCAGTAAGATCAATATATTACCAAGGTAGCTGTATAGTTAGATGAAAATCCAAGTTGATTTTGAAAAGTTATAAAAAGATTTAAAGTGTACTATCTGAATATAGTCTGAAATGCAAATTCTAGCTTTTTTGACCTAGATTAATTTAATCCTTAAATTTGACAGCAATACACCAAACTACATAATGACCTATGATGCAGTAAGATCAATATATTACTAATATAGCTGCATAGGTTGATGAAAATCCTAGTTGATTTGAAAAAGTTATAAAAAAAATTAAAGTGTACTATCTCTATTTTGTCCGAACTGCAAATCCTAGCTTTTTTGACCTAGATTAATTTAATTCTTAAATTTGATAGCAATACACCAAACTTCTTAACAACCTGGGATTCAGTAAGATTAATATATTACCAAGGTAGCTGTATAGTTAGATGAAAATCCAAGTTGATTTGAAAAAGTTATAAAAAAAATTAAAAATACCTATCAGAATGTAATCATTTTTTTTTTACCTATTAATTGAATTCCTTCATTTCACAGCAATGAATCAAACTAACAAATAAACTGGAATTTTGTAAGATCTTGATTTAATTTAGTTAGATGGGCTGATTTATACCAGTGAAGGCTAAATTTGAAGGTCCAGACTAGTCGAGACAGGTTGAGACTGGTTAAGACTGAGTCGAGACTAGTCAAGACAGGTCGAGACGGGTCGAGACTGGTCGAGACAGGTTGAGACTGGTCGAGCCTTGGTCGAGACCATTTCAGACTACAACAAGATCATCAAGTACTGAATCAGACTTATTAAGTAAAGTCGAGACCTAGTCGAGTACAATTAAGTACAGTTAAGTACTGTCGAGACAATGTCGAGACTAGTCGAGTAAAATGTGTGCTCGACTTTACTGGTCGAGCACAAAAACTGGTCTTTTCAGACTCTGAGTAGTTTGTAGTGATCTTTATTGATAAAAAATGTCAGAAAAGTTATGTACATTATGATCATGTTGATTGTGTGAAAAGTCACACAAGGTAATCAAAATGGTCAGAGGGGGAAAAGAAGTTTTGTTATAAATGTCAAATGTGATAGTCTCAACCTATCAACATGATCAAAATTGTTGATTTCACCATTAATATTTACATTTAGCATGTTCAGCGGAATAGCACGTTTTTGTTATATTTTTACTAAATGTTATTTTACTTTTCTCTTATAGGCAGGAGTGAAAGAAACAGATCAATTTACATTAACATGTAATAATTCCATCTGAATATAACAAGCATGAAGATTTATTCACATGTTACTATGATTTGTAGTTATATTTTATTGTATGTATTTGTAATATTATATAGAACATGTATTTTATTTTAGAACAGTATTTTTCTTTTTCGTCGAGCCTGCGACTTTTGTCGCAGAAAGCTAACTTCTTAAAAGCTTTATATTTTAGAAGGTGGAAGACCTGGATGCTTCATACTTTGTATATAGATGCCTCATGTTATGATGTTTCCGTGTGTCACATTTCCATTGACCTTGACCTCATTTTCATGGTTCAGTGACTACTTAAAAAAAAAGTTAAGATTTTTTGTAATGTTAATTTCTCTCTTATTAAGAGTAATAGGTTAACTATATTTGGTATGTGAGTACCTTGCAAGGTCCTCATGCCCGTCAGACAGTTTTCACTTGACCTCGACCTCAGTTCTTGGATCAGTGAACAAGGTTAAGGTTTGGTGGTCAAGTCCATATCACAGATACTATAAGCAATAGGTCTTGTATATTTGATGTACAGAAGGACTGTAAGGTGTACATGTCCAACTGGCAGGTGTCATCTAGCCTTGACCTCATTTTCATGGTTCAGTGGTTAGTTAAGTTTTTGTGTTTTGGTCTGTTTTTCTTATACTGTTTGCAATAAGTCTACTATATTTGGTGTATGGAATGATTGTAAGGTGTACATGTCTAGCTGGCAGGTGTCATCTGACCTTGACTTCATTTTCATGGTTCAGGGGTCAAAGTTAAGTTTTTGAGTTGTGGTCTTTTTTTCTAATGCTATATGCAATAAAGGTCAACTATATTTGGTGTATGGAAATATTTTATGATGTACATGTCAGTCTCGCAAGTTTTATTTGACCTTGACCTCATTTTCACAGTTCATTGCTCAGTGTTAAGGTTTTGTGTTTTGGTCTGTTTTTCTTAAACTATAAGCAATAGGTCAACTATATTTGTTGTATGGAAGAATTGTAAGCTGTATATGTCTGCCTGGCATGGTTCATCTGACCTTGACCTCATTTTCATGGTTCATTGGTCAATGTTTAGTTTTCTTGGTTAAGTCTATTTCTTAGAAACTATAAGCAATAGGTCAACTATATTTAGTGTATTGAATGATTGTAAGGTGTACATGTATTTCTTGTTTGGTTTATATGACCTTGACCTCATTTTCTTGGATCATGTTAAGTTTATGTGATAGTGGTAGTAAAGCTTTATATTTAGGACTATCAATTAGGACTATCAACATAACATCAATGATTAGTAAAGAAGGCGATACATTTCAGCGTGTGCACTCTTGTTATATTTTGTTGTGGAGAACATCAAAGAAATTTAGAAAAATATAATTAAAGATAAAGTTTCTTCCATATTTTCTGTGACAAAAACAAAATTGTGCAAATTAAGAAAATGAAATGAGGCTACATTATTGAATATTTTTGAGTTTGATTTTTTTCATTTTATTCCTATTTTAAAATTTCATTGGCATTTGAAGTAATGAGTTGAAACTAGTTTTTATCAATCATGTCAATCATTTTGTTTTCAAGATGTACAAACAGTACAGTAGGTTAAGGTTATGTGTACAATAGTTTACTATGATGTTATGGTCAAATAAACTTGAAACTTTGTACTTTCAAGTGTTCATTATGAAGTCATTGATTTTTTAAGTAATTACAAATAAGTTACTAGAATATGGAAATCTGATTGTGGAAGTAGGGTATAATGTGTTATGGACACACATCTCAATCCCATAGAGCACCGCCCTCCTCACCAGCCTCTCAGTAATGGAATATTGACTTTGAAAATTTCCTTAGTTTACACTGTAAGATTTGTGATAAGTTCAGTTTAAGGAGAACCACTAAAAGTAGGTCAGGGATATTTTATATGCAGTTGAATAAGCTTTTGGACAATACATGTGCTTGGGGATTTTTTTTATCCTGAACCCTAAATCATGGTTTTATAACTTAGAATCTTTTGCAGTTTATATGGAAAGTTTATGTGTAGGCCAGTTTAAAATCGACCACTTATAAGAGGAGGATTTAGAGGAGGCCTAGGCCCCCCTTTTTGTGGGACAAATTTGGTTGATATTATATTTAGAGAATTACTAAAGCATGACAAAAGAGATGCAGTAGAGAGCAACCTTAATATTTCTTAGAAAATACTTTTTTCGGACCTGTAATGAAAAGTATGGTTATAAACAAAATACATATTTTTTTTCAGTTAGAAACATATTTTTTATGAATCAAAATTTTAACAAATGTTGGAAACAAATTTACATAAAAACTTACTAAATGTATCAAAATTCTGTGTTGTAATATCTTATAGATTTTGTTTTTTCAGGATTTTTCCCAATATGTTTAAGAAATCTGTAGCATAATTTTAAAAATTTGCTTGCAGATTTTATTTTGGGATTTTTCCCGAAATGGGTAAAAAAAATCTATGTAACAAGTGTGTGTCTGATAATAGATTTATATTTTCGGGATTTTTCCCGAAATGTGAAAAGAAATTATTAGTCATGAGTTCTAGCATATACGTTCTGTTTTCGGGATAAATCCCAAAATATTCGAAGACATCTGTGTTATTCATTTTCCACTTAGTTTATTTTTGTCGGGATTTTTCCCGAAATGTGTTTCAGATCTGTTTGTCAGCATTCTTTGCTAACATATATGTTATAAATAATAATGTTGAAAATGATTTTGGGTCATTTCCCGAATTAAAAGTTGTCACATACATCTTTACCACAAATATTTTAAAACTTTCATATATTTTGGGAAATTTCCCAAACATTAAATGTAAATTTTATCAATTATAAGAATAAAAACATGGAATATTGTAAAATATGTGTGTTTCTTTATGAAATCTGCATTCAATTTATGGTAAACATTAAAAAAGATTATAAAAAGGAATAAAATGGATTTTACTCTTTTAAAATAGATTCAGTTAAATGCATTTCTCTGATTCTTCTCTGCTGTCCAGTAGGTTTCCTACTCCGTTTTTTAATAAACATCTCCGCCATGGGCGCATGATACGCTTGATATCAAACTCGCCGGAGCATCGTTTAATATTATATTGAAATTAAATAACTCGAGTTGATATCAAGCGAGTTCATTATCACTCGTTATGAAACCTATAAATAATTTCTCAATGTCATATCAAAAATTTATAAAAAAAAACTTAAAGGGAGGTAACCTTAATCTATATAAAGCAGTCACCAAAGTTTCATGAAAACTCCTCAAAGAACTTTAAAAATATTGTCCGAAAACTGTAAAATCACGCCTTTTTAGCTCAACTGGCCCTAAAGGGTCAAATAAAATTTTCTCATCACTTGGCGTCCGTCGTTATCCGTTGTCGTCCGTTAACTTTTACCAGATATATACGTCTAGAGTTTTAATTGCTGTTGAACAGATCACAATCTGAGCAGCTTAATAACTGTATTTTAATGTTAAGGATAGCAGATTATGTGCAACGCAAACATTGTTTTACAGAAATCTTCTCCTTTAATACTTATGGAACAAGTTCATTATAGATAGAGATAACTGTAAACAGCAAGAATGTTCAGTAAAGTAAGATCTACAAACAAGTCACCATCACCAAAACAGAGAACTTTGTCATGAATTATATTCTTGTCTTTAATGTAGAAGAGTGGTCACTGTTTGATATGCACTGCATCACATAGACCAAGGTGAGCGACACAGGCTCTTAAGAGCCTCTAGTTTGTTTAATAAAATCCTATAACTCGAAAACGTAAAATCTAATATTTATAAAATTCGAAAAGGAGGATACCACAATAGATACAAAAAAAGTTTCATGTAAATTGGTAACAGCGTTTTTGAGTTTTGTCCGACATGCTGACGACGCACGGACAACGGTATACAATAATACGTACCGTATAAAAACTCCGGGGTTCACCACGAAAAATATTATTAACTGTGACAACAAAAATACCATAAAATGAAGTTGAAAAGATTATGATTTTTATAAAGGATCCAATAATTTCTAATTTAATACTGGAAAGTTGTGGTAGAACGTTTTCCGAACAGAAAACTTCCATTTAATTGAAAAAAAGTTAATTTTGATCAACGAAGTAATATGTTTTGGTGATTTATTGAGAATATATGATATTTTCATTCATTAAATTACATTTATATACTAGAAAAGTCATTTTTTAAAGTCAGAAATAACTTTTTTCTTATTAAAATTTTCGTTAAAAAACCCGGACCATTTGTTTAAAAACCCGGACGGTTTCACAGTTCCTCTCGAAAAAGCCCGGACAATAAAAAACACTGAATTTAATAGTTAAATACAAGTAAATTGTGCTTCTTTGTTACTCAAAACATGTATAATATTCAAAATAAGATGGGTAGTCACGTAAAAAACTTTTATAATTACGAATTAGTAGTTAATTGACCTGATCGCATGTTTTATCACTCGAAAAAGCCCGATCTACACTCGAAAAAAATGGACAGATTCACTCAGAAAACCGTGATCCTAGCCGGACACTATACCTACCGTGTATGTACCTTAACCTAAAACTTTTACATAAGAATGTACTATAATTTCACATTATGACATTTCTATGTTCAGTGATCCATGAAATCAGGGTAAAAACAGTTATGTGGTGTATAATGTATAAAAAATACATCAATTGAACATAAGTACTAAATTTCAAGTATATACATGTAAAACCACAAGTTACTAACTGAAGTTCATGGTGAACTGTAACCGAACACTTTAAACGGATACAATTCAGACAAAGGTCTGGACAGATGAATGCACAAAAACTGTCAAAACCGGACATAAAACTTACCGAACAAGATGAGTTTCACTTATCCTTCAGAAGCAGGAAAATTGAATTGTTTCTTTTCTGTCTCTGCCTCCATGATATATAAACTTCAAATGCATTCATGCAAGATATGAAAATTTGCACTAGTAGGACCTTGTACCTCACCGTATCCACATTTTGACTTTTGAACTGCATTGTTCTTTTCATCTTGCTGGCAACCTAAACATAATAAAATGATAAACACATAATTCTAGATTAACCTTGTTTATGTCTTAAGGCATGGATCCTTCGTCTTTTGTTGGGGCAAGTTTTTTTTGTTGGTACAAAATTTTTTTTCCAACTTTAATCAAAGTACTGATGTATTGTTAACTCAGATGAACCCATGGTGGACGTCATACTAACCTTCGAAATATTTAAACAAACCAAAATTAATACTTGATTAAGATCTTGTCAAATATATAGCATGGATAACACTTATTTTTGAAGATCATATGTCTATTGCATGAGTGTATGCGTTTGTATATGCAAATTAATATTAAAGATTGATTCCGACAACTTTAAAATCAAAGAGGTAGTACCATTATCCCCTGAATTCATTACACTATACAATGCCATAGGGCTACTCCAAATTGTATGTCAATCTTTAACATGTTTAATTAGCATGATTAATGTAACAGTTTTACAGCTCCATGTGTACACTTTGAGAATCTTACAATACTGTAAATTCAGAAATTATTGCGAGGTTTTTATTAATGCAAATAATGGGACTGCGAGCTGTATTGCATTCTTATATCTGGTATATATATATGTATGCAGATTTTCCAGAAATCACAATAATCAATCTCGCATTTTTGTCCATTATTCAAAATTAGCAATAGTAAATGCACACAAAAATTTACAGTATTAAGGCTTTTTTTAAATTCTAAACAGTTGCCCAAATTATAAATGTCAGACCGTTAAAATTTCTTGTTTGATTTATTTTACATTTGTCATTTGAAGGCCTTTTATAGCTTGCTAGATGGTATGGCTTTTGCTCATTGTTGACAGACATACCATTACCTATACCTAACTTGTGCATCATTTGGTCTCTGGTGGGGATAGGCCTACTGAAGATGGTCAAACTGGAAATTTGTTGGATTATGAGTATTTATCCAAAAATGAAGAAGAAAGATATTCATAACCAAAACCAAAATTATGTTGAAATTAAAGATGTAAATTGTCTGTTACATGTTATTTCATTTTGGTTAGTGAGGTACTAGTGACCTGACGAAATTTATAAACATGACCTTTTGACTTATAGGAGTTACCCTACTGGATAAAATTGAGAATGGAAATGGGGAATGTGTCAAAGAGACAACAACCCGACCATAGAGCAGACAACAGCCGAAGGCCACCAATGGGTCTTCAATGCAGCGAGAAACTCCCGCCCCCGGAGACGTCCTTCAGC